CGCTATCTGTGAAGAGGTATTTGGCAAAAAACAACATTCCAGTGATGGAACATCCACCGTATTCTCCGGACCTAGCACCGTGCGACTTTTTTCTCTTCCCAAAAATCAAGTCTGCGCTGAAAGGGACCAGGTTCGAGTCCGTGGATGCAGTGAAAGCAAAAGCGACGCAACTCTTGAAGAGCATAACACAAGATGACCTGCAGCACTGCTTCCAACAGTGGAAAATTCGCATGGAGCGGTGTAGGGATCGGGGAGGGGACTACATTGAAGGGGATAACATTTCGACTGTCTGATTTTTTTTAATAAAGGGTTAGAGCATGAATCCGGTTTCTTTATTGCCACTGAAGGCCACCCCAAACTCATATTTTCCATATCTATAATTACTAATAGCAAAGTGGTGAATGCATGAACTTTTGAGGTGGAAGCAACATTAGTGTCACTACTAAACCGCAGTAATGATAGTAACCACTGGTAACGATAGTGACCACAGGAAGCATAGCAAACACACAAACAATAGTAAACAATAGCAACCATTGAAAACAATACAAAGTGACAATGGTAACATATTTTTCAGCGTGTATTTAATGTCTTCATCAAACTATTCCTAAGAACTAGAAGCACTGGGAAAACAAATGTGCAAAGAATGTATATGGAAACTGTGTGCACACTGGTACAGACTGCATTTTACCAATCTTACTAATACATATACTGACTGACCAGTGACGGTGAATGACTTTTTTGAAAATGTTGGCCAAAGTCCAAGGTGTGGGGAGGTCATGACAATTCTGGCAATTGAGTATATACATTATACATAACAGCTACACTAATGTGTTCTAAAAATTAACAATTAATTTAAGGAATAAAGAAGGAAGGAAATGTAAATTAAGAAAAAATAGTTAGCAATTACTAAGTTTACATTTTCATTCCACTCTGTACTTCAGTCCCACATGATAATTCTTTTAGAGAAATTACCTATCACAGAGTCATACAAATTTGGACTGTTTTCTCAGTGTCAAAGAACTTTTCTCTCAGCTGTCACTGATAATAACTTAATGAGTCTCTCCTGAGTCTGTGTGCTGCATAAGAGCAAACAGGCAGTTAAAGTTAAACATACCTTGTTTAAGTAATGTGACAGCCTGGAATGCAACACACTCACCCCTCATCCAAAGCTTAAACTATACTGTGTCTCTTCCAATGTGTCTGTGCTCACAGATGGCTAGTGTAAGCCTGATGGAACTAGCTAACAACACCTGTTATCAGTTGGCTGGATGTGGAAGACATACCATCTGACTGCTTCTCATACAAGTAGTATATGGAATACCAATGAACCACAAAAGTAACACTTTTAATTTTATTTTCATGGTGTTAGGTAGGCCAACATAGTTAATATGAACCACTGATATTAAAAACATATTATAAAAGTGGCAAATGTTTTAAAATGTGCCTATTATAAGAAAACATTCCCAACAACCATTTTATTATTTCCTGATGACCAGGTAATAATAACAAGATTATACTGTATACAAAAAGGTTTTATTTAAATTACACATGACAGCAAACAAATACAGTATAGAAATATCAGCAATGAAAAGAAGGAATTTAATATCTTCCCCCCCCCCAAAGCAATAATAGCCAAAACAATTTTAAATGATACACCAACTGAAGAAGTTAATACTTTCAAATACCTGAGATATAGTACAGATCTTAACCATTTTAAGCATTTCAGGGTAAAACTGAATAACCTTCAGTGTGCAGCATAATCAACAATTTCTAATCAGGGGGGGCATTTCTTATCCTAATACAGTCAACTCTTGAAAGGACTGGTTTACTTAAAGAGAACAGGAACCAGTCCAAATGGCAGAGGAGTAAAAAAGACTGGACAAAAAAAAGGGAAAGAAAAATTATAAATAAAAATTTTGGGAGAAGGAAGTTATCCATGATGAAGAAATGAAGGATGAAAAACTGATAATACAGAAGCCACAATTTTAATTTATTTATGTATACTTTAATTAACAGTGCTGTCTACAGCTCAGATAATATAGCAATGAATGACAGGATTAGTGAATGAATTGGAAAGGATCAGAAGGAAGCACCCGAGGCCTAATTTGACATCATATCCTGGCATTTGCCCGGAATGTCTGAGGAAAATCATGAGAAGTCTCCATCAGTATAGTCGGCCTTCAGGACAAGATTTGAAACTGCGACCTCTGGTATATTAAACAGGAGTGCTCCACTTGGATATAACATTCAGTTATGGAGATGAGCATAAAACATACTGAAGTGAACAGAGAAGTATAATCTGTAATGTAAATTATAAGTAACTGGAAGAAAGCTGAAGTCTGTTATCAGTTTAATCTGGTACATTTCCAAATCAAATGAAATGCTAATGAAACAAAGGAAGTTTTAAACACTTCAAATCTGGTTACACAATGGAAAAGCTGTTGATTTATAAATTTCAAATACAGAGGTTTGATTATTTGAGAAGGTTCAGTTTCCAGACATAGGAAATTTCCTGGTTGAACTGAGTCTTACTGGTGTCAGTTCAATGAAAGGCATATTTCTTCTTAGGGGAATAAGATGGACATCTTGAAAGTGAATATGAAATGGGATCTCTTCCACTGAGTGAAGAAACTCAAATTCTACTACATCTGCTACGATCTGATCCAGATAATGCCTGAAAGCTGGTTTTCTGTTGTGTGTAGCTCATATAAATAAATAAATGGCATAAACATGCTAAATATTTTAATTTTTAAGACTTCCTACCTCTTTGGGCACAAGGTCATTTTTGTAAGCATTATTATATTTGTTTAAATTTGTTTATGGCCTTAAAACATAGGCTTGTTAATAAGTAAATTTATACAATAAACATTATGAACATTCTTCAGTGGCTATAATGTCACACAGATCAAGCAGTGCATACAATTTAGCTTACCACACTGTCCATTCAACACAGTTAATGTGCTACTACACCGCAAGTGGCAAGTCGGGAATGAGTACACCAAGCACTAACATCAGAAGTGGAAACAAAGAGGTCTTGGTTTAGGACTGAGAGCTACTTGAAGCCCATCAAGGGTACTATTCGAGGTGGGCAATATGTTTGAAGAAACTATTCACTGGAGTGCAGGCCCATGGGCACAAAACGTGTATGCATATGTTTTCATTCTCACCAGTGTTTGAACTGAGTAGAAACTCAATAGGGGAGTCAACCGAACGGAGGGCACGGTGAGGTCGGTGAGGTCCTATCAACCAAGCAGTCAGTCAATCAGTTAAGGCATGGGAGCAACCCTCAAGCATAAGGAAAAAAATAGATTTACTAAGTAATATGTGGCAACATGCACAAACATAACAGGCACACAGAGATGCCAAGTGGAAGCATGTGGACTTCTCAGCTATAAACACATTGTTGTCTCTCTTTTATGACACATCAGAATAAAGCAGACCACATAAGCAATATATGGAAACAGGACTCTCATCTAACATGAAGCATAGATCTATGCCTTGTTGGATAACTACATCTATACTTTCCAGCATGATTTTACTCTATTTATTGTGATCTGGTTTACAGTAATATATACCAAAAGCTGATCAAATTCCACAGAATTATATACAGATACCTTCAAACCTTTTGAAAAAAATCTGTGTAACCAGCAAGTCTTAAAACTGATCCTATTTAATGTGATACCATCCAGATGTGAGCTGTATTGCCAAATTTGCCTTGAAGATGGAGACAGTAAGAATCCTCATAACGTCAGCAATACAGCTGCATCTAGATGGTGCCATTGTCAAAAATAGGATCACTAACAGAACCACACCACTGTGAAAGCCTGAAAGCAAGACCTGGTTATAGTTACTGTTCAGATGATGGGTACATCTACTATTACTTTCAAATGGATTAATAAATCTGTTAATACTGGACATCTCTATGGCTGCTACATGGGACACAGTAAGATATAAGCTACTAAATAAGATAAAATACTTAATTAAAAACTCAAATGCAGAAGTTTATCCCCTTTTTCTTTCCCAAATATTTCTTGCAAAATAATTTGTCACATACAAAGCTGATAATATTATTCCTACAATATTTCCATATTTTCAACATACAATCCATATGCTCTCACTCTAGCATTAATTTAAATGAAATATGACTACAGAAATTTTCATAAATATTGGAAACTTATATGCTAAAATGAAAATTTACAAAATAAAGAATATTGAAAATGTGTATAAAATTTCCCGAACTGCAATGGAGCACACAAATGTTTATACACTGAAAACAGGAACACAACCTGAAATCATGATGTAATTTTGGATCCAATATTGTACTTAATAACACCTGAAGAATCCATAGTCACTTTCGGTTATCATCATGCACCCTGGTTCATCTCCATTACTGATGGAACAGGCCTATACATACTAATGCACATATAATCTCTATCTCTCTTTGAGTCATCAGCTTTCTTTTCTTGACATTTACATTATGATTACATTCTACATGAAAATTTCACTCCTGCATGAGAATATCACATTACATAAATGCTTAAGTTTATATGTCCTGATAGTGTCATTCTTGTCTTAAAACAGTATACTGTATGCTTTTACACAAACTGCAGAGAAAACATATAGCAAAGGTCATATTAGTAAATATTTCTATTCTTTTACAGAATGTGCCAGCACAGCAGGAGCAGGTGCTACTTTGCCACAGACTATCAAAAAAAAAATCCTCTTTCGAACTGCAAAACCTTCTTGTACCGCTGGGCAAGCAATAATGTAAAACTTTCCGTTATATCGCTCATTGTAATCCAGGGTCAGTAACTTTTGTGTATTTGTTTCTTTAAATCCCTTGTAGACAGATGTTTCTATTACACTCCAAAGTTTCAGGCTAATAATAGTCCTGCTAGGGTTGCTTCTGTAAGTATTCACATTTTCCTCCATTAACACACTTCCTGTCATGATCTAAAACCCAGTGGAAGAGTACTATCTTCTAGGATGTCACTCCATGTAGTCTGCTAGAAGTTCAGTGATATTCTGGAGGAATATACTCCATTCATCTCCTGGGTTGAAGAGTATGCCAATAAAATCTCTGCAATAAACTTCTCAGAGGATACTACTCTCCATAGTTGCAGTCATGCCAAACTCAAATATCGGACAGAACCCTATCATTTACATCAAATACGTTTGCACCAATCAGTCATTTTGAAATTACATAGAAACTTCATCTATGAAAGCCAAGATCTCCAAGATTTATTTCCAAGTTTGGTAGTTCTTGTGGTCAGCATCGTATCTTCAAAGTATAAGGCACTTCAAGGATATTGATTTGAATCTAAAAATGTAATGAACTGTACTGTCACATCATTATTGCACAATCTGAGCACAGACTGTGCCTTACAAAAGGATGAAGTACATCAAGTGATCAAGTGATCAAGCTCAACAGGCGATACACGCAAGTATAGTGAAATCTTGATTAATGATGATAATTAGGGGGAGAAGTAGTAGAGGCAAGTATAGTGAAATCTTGATTAATGATGATAATTAGGGGGAGAAGTAGTAGAGGCAAGTATAGTGAAATCTTGATTAATGATGATAATTAGGGGGAGAAGTAGTAGAGGCAAGTATAGTGAAATCTTGATTAATGATGATAATTAGGGGGAGAAGTAGACAATTAAAAGCAATGCATAATCCATAAATCTAGAAATACACACTTACTATCCAGAATTCAACCCTGAGAACCATATACTTTATTTATAGGCTGCTGCCTGTCACTGAACAATGAGATAAATAGCTCTCCAAACAGAAGAAAACAACCCTTGTTAAATGACAAGCGGTGCAAGAAGCGATAAATATACAAGTTTCTATAGGATGTGAAGATGTATTGTCTACTGCAAATCGCAAAACATCACTGACACAAATTACTCCAATGGATGTGATGGGCAACACATCATTATTGGAAGCTATAATCAATACTTGTGGGGTTCTAAGTCCAGTGGTTAATCTGCATGTGAGGAACTGTGAGACTACTGTATGTTGTGACATGAGATATCTACTGGCTCAACGTGTCCGTAGAACACACTGGTCCTCACAGGAAACCTCTCAAATGTCTCCCATAACCTGTATTTAATACTAGCAAATACAAATGGACACACAATGACAATTTCAGCTGTTCTTAAATGGAAAAATTCATGCAGTTTGCATATTATTGTTAAAGAGTTTGAAACAACGCACATACATATGAGGTGTATCGGAAAGTACCTGGACTATGTCAAAAAATAAATGCTGGCTTAATTTACTAAATTTTGGCTGCCATTTCCTCCAAAATAGTCTCTCTGGGAACATATAGAGCGATCCCATTATTTTTTCCATGCTTAAAAAGCACACTGGAAGTCATTTTCCTTCATGCTGTTGAGTACTGCTTACTATTCCCTTCGGATGTCAGACACTGTTTCAAAACTTCCATTCAGTTTAATTTTCAATTTGGGAAACAAAGCGAAATCACAGGGGGCTAAGTCTGGTGAGTAGGGAGGTTGGGGAACAACAATCATGTTGCTGTTAGTCAGAAACTCTGTGGTTTTCAGGGACATGTGGGCAGGCATGTTGTTGTGATGAAGGAGCAATATGGTGCATGTTCAAATTTTCGGTTAAGCTCTCCTGGCAAACTCTGTAACTGATCCAAACGGTGTCTGTGAGCTCATGGATTGTTCTGCAACAGTCTTTATGGATGAGTTCTTGGATTTTTTTCAACATTTTCTGTCGTTTTGCTGGTGCTTGGTCACTCTGAACGTTTATCTTCAGCTGACACTTGACTGGCCTTGAAACGTGAATGCCACTCAAAAACCGCTGTTTGGCTTAAAAAATGTTCTCCAAAAGCCTCATGAAGCATTTTAGGTTTCAGTACTGGATTTACTGTGCTTCACACAAAATTTAATGCAGGCATGTTGGTCAATTTTGCCATCCATTGCAGATAAACTGAAGTAGAAAAAGCATTCTTGTAAAAACAATGCGTGTTCACAGCACAGTGTCACATGGCAGACTGATGTAATAGGCTTGCAGAATTGTGACCTTGGCTTCCCCTTCCATCTTTTTCACTGAGGCAGTTACGATATTAACAGTCTGGGAACTTTCCGATACCACCTGTGTATAATATGTGTGTGTATATGTAATACACGTATGCCGTTTCTAAAGCAATCTACGAGGAAAATTTTCATAATATACAGAAAACAGTAATGTAGACTAAATACACATACATATACACAAATATGAATAACAATATATAAATCAAACAAGAAATTAAGATTTCTCACACATAATAACAAAATTTAACCTACCTCGGTAATCTCCATCACTTCATTTGTTGCTTCATCTATGAGATCACCATAACATTTACATGAGATGGAACACTTATTAAATGTCATTATGTTCTGCAAGAGAAGGATAAATTCAATTAGAAAAATAATGTTTCTGGTATCAAATTACAGTAAAGCCTCTATTTAATTAATGAAATTAAGCAAATCAGTGATTCTGGAAGTTAATCTTTACAATTCTCTTAGGCAACAATCACTGAGACAATTGCATTAATGTTACACAATTGAATGGAATGCTTAATAATGTGTGTCAAGAAACATGGACTCTAAATACTCATCCACACATTTGAGCCTGGGTAATTGTGTGTTTCTGATTGATCTGATAAATGCATCACAAATTTCACTGTCACAGAAATAATCTCTAGGTACTTTCCGCATGTCATCTGTCTCTCATACATCAAAGCATCATCCACAGTTACAGCCTTGTTCTGTGGTACCAATACTTGACATCACTCTGCACACACCTAATGCTGTATTTTTTCTTACAACCCACATGCTTCTATCTAAAAATATGCGACCAAATAGTGAGACGCTCAGCTAATTTATGACAAGGTTCCAACAGCAAATGGTCTGTTTATTCATTCCAAGGTTGGCAATGGTGTGCAGCCTACTTTTTACAAGGCTGGCATTCTATTCATTTCAATATCACCTTAACAATCACACAAGTTCTTCCTTCTGCATACCTACGTGCAGCTATGTCTGGTGTGTAGCAGTGGAAGCAATCTGATCTGTGGACATTAATCTGTAATGTGATGTGCATGTACTCTGCTAAATGTGAGTACTACAACTACAGGCATGTGTTTACAGTCATTCATGAATGGCAAAAAACTTAAATTTAAGAGACAGAATAAATATGACACAGAAGAGCTTCATGAACACATGAATGAGAAATGGGAGGGCTTGTGGTATTAAATGCAACAAACAAGTTGTGTACTAGGAAAAGAACAAGTGTCTTCCACTGCCAGAATGTCACATCCTGGAAGATACATCGATATAGTGGAAATAACTGAAGAACATGTCTTCTAATATTCAAGAAACCCTGTACTCAAAATCTAGGATATACTTCAATACTTTAACAAATTCACATACATTTTATCTGTATTTCTTTTTCCTCCTGAAAAATGGAGTGCACAGCTTATTCACAGGCATGAGATATTCAAGAAAATATGACAATACAAGGCAGGTACACCAATGAATAGCCGTATGAGGTCCTATCAATCTTACTGGCAAGCATGAACAGGTATTACCTGTGTTAAAGTTCCAGTCTTGTCAGAGAAGATATACTCAATCTGGCCCAGCTCCTCATTGAGGGTGGTGGTTCGTGCCTTCGCTGAGGTGTTGGTCTTTTCATAGTTCATCTTCTCATCCCAGTTAATAAGAAAACTCTGTGCAAATCTGATAACTTCCACACTGAAAAAATAAGAAATCAATATTATGTCCTGCAGGATAAATGGAAATTACCTTGAAAAAAGCCATTAGATGGCAAGTGCAATGCTTGCATCCCAGGGTAAAACTCTGTCATAAACACTGGTTGGAAGCAGTATGGCCATTAAAATATAATCTAGGAAGGTAGGAAGAAAGAATGAGAGGAAGACAGAACAAATTCTTGCATGGATACTATATGCAGTCAAGCATTTCAGGCTATTGTGAAATGGGCTGCAAAAATGAAGCTTGCTGCCTATTACACCTATTATTTTTGTCCCTTCTCAGAGTGTATTTCCCCACATTTTCTGTTTGCTTAGACCTGGGTATCACTCTGCAGTACTCTCAAGTCATATTATTTTACTTGCATGTGTGAGCTAGGTCATGGTAGAATTTTTAAATTAGATGTATTACCGTGATTAGTACAGTGAGTGATGGTGAAAATAAAATGTATACAAACATCAATGCCCTAGAGCAGATCTGAACCCATGATACAAGCATTTACTCAGCCTAGGACTGCATACTCCTTTAATAGTACAGCCCTAGAACTGACATACAGTATTCTTTTGTCAATGTCCTTGTGATTAATTTCAGATTCCAAAACAGGTAAGCCACAAACTGTTAAAATTAAACTCTAGTGGCTGACTTAACTATTATTTCTTCTTCTTAAAGCTAATGAGCAGAATATTTTGTTTAAGAGTCCCTTCTCTTTTATTCTTCCAGGTCAATCAGTCCTTACAAATAGGAGTTCTTCTTAATGATCTAACTCTAAAAATAAAACAGTGGTTACTATACCTGACATAGAGAGATATAGGCACCACGGTGTTGAGCACTATGGCATAAGAGAAGAAGACGAGGAAAGCAATAACAGTAGCACCACTGAGTGGCTCTGTGGGGACAAGTGAGTCCCAGGGCAGGTACTCCTGAAAGTTAACACCTGTGATGGTCTCCCAAATCCCACAGGCTATCATACAGAACAGGCACATGGACAGCAGGAAGAACACAATCTGGAACAATGTGCCATAAATACATTACTAATGTACAGAAACTAATAATATAATAATATTTACCAACTTTAGCAGAGAACTATGCAAATTCAAATGTGTCATCAATGCATACTAAATTTCACCCCTAAATTTGCTGGATACATACAATATTTCATACATGTTGCACTAGTTTTTGTCACATGAGAGTTACATCTTGGTACATAAGACTTTGCCATATTGTTTTGGACTATAATTCCTATATAACCATAACGTTTATGTAGAAGTGCTAAAGTGAGCCAAAGGTAGACATTTTTTTGGTGATCCATATAAGAGTTTTGTTAACTTTTTTAAGGTATTACTGACAAACACCCATATAACACATCTTATTCCTGCAATTATCATTGGTTTTTATCGAGAAAGATCGCTTCATATTAATGAAATTCCTGACAAAACATTTACATGCATAATATGGGATAAAGAATTACATATGAAGCACATAAAAACGTTCACTGCAAGAACATAATATACCAATTTCTTTTAACTGTCAATTCGAAATCTGTTTCTATCTACCAGCTGGACTGCAAGAGAATTCAAATTTAAAGGACTTTCAAGGGTCAAGAAGGTGAAACATGCAAAACAGAAATAAAATTGGTTGTAGAAACTTCAGATGCTGCTACTACGTATGAAGTAGTAAAAGATACCAGGAGTAATGATTTACATTTATTTAGCAGTTTCATTTGTGAGACAGTTCCCCATCGTCAAGACAATACAGCACAGTTAGTACAGTATACATTATTACATCCATTGCAGATTTTACTCATGTACCATGAAATTTCGTTTTAACAAATACATTTTTGGTATGCCACAGTTCATTGTTAATACCATTTCACAGAGCAACTCTCTCACAATCTTCTAATATAAGAAGTGGAACTCCACATTTATTTTCATTTACAACCACTGCAATTTCTAACATTAAATATACTGTACTTCTTTTGTATGCTCTTACCCCTATAATTATGAAATTCAATAACCTATCGATGCTTGTGCGCTTAAACTTGGTCTTGCCCGAATTCTGCATGAGTTTGGTATCCTTTCCAGCAAAGATGACAACACCATAGCACCAATGCGTGTTCCGCAGGATGCAGCCACGTAACACCACTCTGTCATTATCCAACGGGAACCTACAAGTAAGATACGTTTGTGTTAACAAATAGATATGAGTTTATATAAAACTACTGAAGTTTCTTAACATAACAAAATAGTGCATATTATTTTACAGTTGCAGGAAGTCCATAATGCACAATGAAGCATTAGGTGTCTAACTTGGGAGCTCCACAGTGGCGGTCTTCTTTCAAAACGTTATTAGTTATTCCACGTTTTTCTGGAATCCAAAAGATAATTCCCATGTGCATGAAAGTCAATCATTGTACACTGTCCTACCAGTTAAATCCTCCCCACATCTTCACACCCTACCCTTCAGTCATATCAATTTTAACACTATCCTCTAATTTCAACTTAGTCTTTGTTCATTCCTTGGTGATTACCTTTGTGGGAACATCCCACATTATCACGCATTTCTGCAACGCTCGCTCTTCACATCACTTTTCACCATCACGCGCGCTAACCAATCAGATTGCTTCAAACGATCGCATTTATACTACGCTCGGCGCTAGCCCGCGTCTACACCATTACGCGCGCTAGCCAATCAATTCTTCCTCCTCACTTTC